GCAGTAGTCACATTGCAGTTTCATAGCAGACATTTTTCCATGTGTTAATTTGATTTGTCTTGTTGCTGTTATTTGGACTAATTCAGTCGCAGATTTGTTTAAATTTAATTTACATGAATTCCTTGCTGTTGATCGACTATTTTAGTCTTGATAGGACAACTCTACTACTGATGATATAATAGTGATGGCAATCTTCGGAAACGCTACAGTCAGAGACAATGATGATATGATCTTTTTATTAAGAGACGGGAACAATTGGGATGTATTCTTCAACTACTTCTTCGCAGCACTGTTTATCTGTTGTCTCATTATTGGAATAACGCTGTATCCTATTATTATCTGGTATCATTCAACACAGAAGAAATCCCTGCCAACAATCTTGTTCCTACTGATAAGCTCAATCGATTTATTTAAAAGCGTATTCTCCCCGTTTTCTCTGGTTCCTAAACTTCTATCATCAGTTCATAATTCACCCCTTTACATTGAATTTGATGGAAGTTCCATATCTTGGACATCGTATGCTAACAGTGCCATCTTTACAGTATGCGATATGGAAATCAATTTGTTGATTTTTCTTTGTGTTTTACGCTACATCCATATCAAAGACCCTATCGTTTCTGCCAGTAAAATAAATATTGTTTGTGCTTTTTTCTTTATCGTGGGACTATTAAAGATATCTTCCGGAATAATCGAGGTTCAATGGAAGCCAGTCGCTTACTTTAGGATTTTTGATGGTGTTTCAACAGCAAATATACCGGTAGCAAGAACATTGCCGATGATAAGTCTTTTTCTAAACTGTTTACTTCTGCTATTTGGAGGCCTATTCAGCACACTTACGATAATTCATCTCAAAAATGCGGATACTGCATCATCAGAAGTGTCCAGTAGAAACATTGACAAAAGTATTCAAGCTATTGGTGCTATGAACGTTTTCAATGTCTTGATTTTGGTAGTAAATGTTAGTTACTCCATTTATTTGAACATATTCAACAACAATAATTCGAGTTCGTTTTGGGACTTTGTTGAGTTTACTAACTGTCATGGACTGCCACTTGTACAGTCCTCATTTAATGCTGTCTCATTTCTTCTGATTAGCAGCTCATTCAAGGTTTTTGTTAAAACGTTGCTAAATTTAAGAAGAGTAAATCGAAACGTTGGGGTAGCAGTTAATCAACAAACTTGCTCAATGGACAGAATCAGTTTACATGGACCATAAAACTATCATGCAGCTACTTCATGGTGCATTAGTGTCACCGATATTAGATACTGGCATCACACTTGACAGTGAAAGAAAAAGAACTTGAAAAATAACCGAAATATGGTCTGGTGGTGGGTATTCCAATTTTAATTCAGAACCCACAGATATCTGATTCAACAAACAAAAAGCACTCAATGGTTGGTACACTCTAGAATCTTAGAATAAGGAGCCTTCCAAACGGCCTTATCTGTTATTTGTCGTCAACCTGGCTAGGTGTTGAATTTTGTAAAACGTAAGTATATTATTATTGTATTGAAGATGATTAGACTTTTCAATTAAGATGGCAATTGGAATCATAATATTAACTACGATAAATTTCCCAAAAACTTGTATCTTATATAATGTACGTTTCCAGAAAACGACGAGTCAGAGCCAAAAAGAAAGAAGTATGCAAAAGAAAGTTGGCCCGGTTGCAAACAACAAGCTGCCAGCATTGCTCCACTATTATTCTGATATAATATTTGTGTCACTGACAGACATCTTATTATTGACATGATTTATTTATATCACTACTTGAATTACACAAGGGTCTGTTTCAGAGCATCTGAAATCATCAACCATGTTGTTTCTGGTCTCTTCTTAACTTATTATATTTGAAATGGTACAATGTTAAAGGTTTTAGTCGTAAAAGGTACACAAATCCAGTTTATCTACCATAGCTTTATATTCATTTATCTAAATTAGGCCTTAGGGGAGGGGTTAAATTATTAAATTTACTGTGTAATGTGTATTAGTTAACAACCATTTTAAAGAACAAAATTGCCGACTTTTAATTTGTTAATGTGATGATTAAATTTGAGCCATGACAAGGATCCGGGTCCTGGTTCATTGAAAACTGAAAATTAACTATTGATAAACCAACCAGGTGTGAAATATTTAATCATTTTCAAAATCAAGGTCAATGAACAGAAAATTGAAGATATTGTGTCAACACGGGTACAGACAAAGTGAGAGACTATATTGTGATTCTAGACTATATTGTGATTTTTGATTCATTAGCTTTCATTTTAAGACATAATTACAATTATTGAATCATTTTAGACCCACAGACCAAAACTTATCACTCTTAGGCCTTCGAAATTGTTTAACCGTCAACATGGATTCAAAGATCACATCACAAGAAATGTAGAACGGATAAAAATTGTCATACCGTGCACTATTATCTATTATTATGATCAAGCGTGACAGGGTAACTGTAATAGAGCACCGATGGCAATAACAAAAATGTGACTTTTGAATCATAGTAACTGGTTTTAATACTATTTAATACTATTTTGTACCCTAATAAATGATAAATAGCCAAGAAAAACGTTAAATGATTCATTAAACACAGCTCAAAATAGGCTTATTTTCAACGTTTAAGTTGTGATCATTGAATCATTTTGGTACCAATAACAATTTCAGATTTAAAGAGATTCCATTCCTTACAGGCATTATAGCCATCAATTTTGGTGTATTTGTGAATAGTACTTTTCAGATTATCTAGTTTTGAATCATCTTGCATTTCTAATTGCGTGACTTTTGAATCATTGGCACTTAAATAACGATAACCCATCATGTGATATTATAAGCAATAGAGACTCCGTGATTTCAGCATCATGAAATTTAATCGAATTTCTAAAGGTCTAGTTAGATATACCAACCAAAAAAGAGTAATCATGACTATTTTCTAAAACGCATTTAAAAAATCAATCTCTAGTGCCACCTTTTTATGAACGTGTCCATATATTAAGACTGTACAGAGAGATATTTGAAATATTATTTTGCGTTTGGAGCTACCCTAATGACCAGGACCCTATATATTTTAAAGAACAAATTAACTCACAGACCACACAAAATAAGACAGAAAATACGTTATGAACCAAAACTCATGAGGCTGCTAAAATCATTTAACGATCTGCTCCAACACGTCGGTTATAAATGTATATTATTTCTGTGGAAAATTAGTTTTTAATCGCTCGTTCCAACGCTTAAAGGGCAGCAAGTCTACAAGCCCCACCCGTACCCCCTTTTATTATATATCATTTAGAGTTCCTCCTACTTTTTCACAATTTCTCCTATTCTCCTACTTTTCCGCTTTTTGCTATATCTCTAACTTTGTTTTCCAGGGTTTGGACTGGCTTTACCCGTTTAAATCATTTCCATCACATTACATAATACTCAATAAATGTAATAGATTTGTAGTGTTGTATGTAATTAGATTTTATATTGTTCATGGGATTTCTAATCCTTTAATTTTTTACTGTGTTTGCTGCTTTTTAACCTGTATTGTTTATAAGGTAGTTTTGTAATGTGTTAATTTTAAAAATACTCTTTTTGGGATTTCCTCCTTATCAGTCGTTTTCGTCTTCTTGATGTTTTCTTTTTTTCGATATTTTCCTTTCTCTGAATTTGTAAGGCTTTTATTTAGTTTAACCCATTAGGGACTCGACGAGTGGGTCGTTTATGTGTTTATGTCCCCTGGGCCCTGTAATTTAGAACCTTCTAGAGGTTCAATACATTGGTTTTAGATTACAAACCAAAGTATTAAACTCCACAAATCTTGTACGCAGATGCTCAAAATATATAGGGCTACATTGTTGACCTCACAATAGGGAGTCGATGAATTACTAACAATTAAACAACAAAGCTAATAATTCATGATAAAAGTAGACATAAACGACACACTCGTCCCTAATGCTCTAATGGGTTAATTACCTTAGTTTCCTGAAAAGGGTAATCATCTTTGTAAGATTTACTGTTATTTTGCTGGGGGAAATATTTCTTCTATTTCAGTGCTGTCTTTGCCGTATGCTGATAGTCTTTGTTGCCAGAAGAACTTGCACTTGCATAGTATATGGCGTGCAGGCACTATATATCTAGACATTTGGTGTCCAAGTTTGCATCTGCCTCTTCCATTACCTCTGTGCAGTAGTCACATTGCAGTTTGATAGCGGACATTTTTCCATGTGTTAATTTGATTTGTCTTGTTGCTGTTATTTGGACTAATTCAGTCGCAGATTTGTTTAAATTTAATTTACATGAATTCCTTGCTGTTGATCGACTATTTTAGTCTTGATAGGACAACTCTACTACTGATGATATAATAGTGATGGCAATCTTCGGAAACGCTACAGTCAGAGACAATGATGATATGATCTTTTTATTAAGAGACGGGAACAATTGGGATGTATTCTTCAACTACTTCTTCGCAGCACTGTTTATCTGTTGTCTCATTATTGGAATAACGCTGTATCCTATTATTATCTGGTATCATTCAACACAGAAGAAATCCCTGCCAACAATCTTGTTCCTACTGATAAGCTCAATCGATTTATTTAAAAGTATCTACTCGCCGATTGCTCTGGTTCCTAAACTTCTATCATCAGTTCATAATTCACCCCTTTACATTGTATTTGATCGAAGTTCCATATCTTGGACATCGTATGCTAACAGTGCCATCTTTACAGTATGCGATATGGAAATCAATTTGTTGGTTTTTCTTTGTGTTTTACGCTACATCCATATCAAAGACCCTATCGTTTCTGCCAGTAAAAGAAATATTGTTTGTGCTTTTTTCTTTATCGTGGGACTATTAAAGATATCCTCCGGAATAATCGAGGTTCAATGGAAGCCAGTCGCTTACTTTAGGATTTTTGATGGTGTTTCAACAGCAAATATACCGGTAGCAAGAACATTGCCGATGATAAGTCTTTTCTAAACTGTTTACTTTTGCTATTTGGAGGCCTATTCAGCACACTTACGATAATTCATCTCAAAAATGCGGATACTGCATCATCAGAAGTGTCCAGTAGAAACATTGACAAAAGTATTCAAGCTATTGTTGCTATGAACGTTTTCAATGTTTTGATTTTGGTAATAAATGTTAGTTACTCCATTTATTTGAACATATTCAACAACAATAATTCGAGTTCGTTTTGGGACTTTGTTGAGTTTACTAACTATCGTGGACTGCCACTTTTACAGTCCTCATTTAATGCTGTCTCATTTCTTCTGATCAGCAGCTCATTCAAGGGTTTTGTCAGAACGTCATTACAATCGAGAAGAGTAAATCCAGTCATGATGCAGTCTGAAGTGGAATCAATTTAGAATTGTCACATTGCAGCTGCTTTGCGGTGAATTAGTGTTAGAGACATTATTAGATAATATTGGCTGACAGTAAAAAGAAAAAAGAAAAAAAAAGAAGAAAAAAGTAAAACTTAATATATTAATCATTATCGATACAAAAGAATTCAAAGATTAAACCGTCGTCAAAATGTCGTTGGATTTAAATAAGTGTAAGTATGTCGAGTTAAAGTTTTTTTAACTGGACCCTAATACCATTTAAATATTATGTATCCTATAATTGTACTATGTACAATGTACATTGTACTATGTACGGCTTTTAAGAAATTTCCAATTCCCTCCCCCGATAACATATCTCCCAACTTCAGAACACAGGAACTACGTTACTGTACGACAGTGGCAGAAGCAGTGAAGTCAAGGAGAATAGTCTCTACGCTAACATGCCTCCTCTCACCTCGCCCACTAAAACACCCACAAAACCCACTGCTAGGTACATTCTCCACATGTTCTGCATACTATACATTCTCCACATGTTCTGCATACTATACATTCTCCACATGTTTTGCATACTATACATTCTCCACAATATGTTCTGCATACTATACATTCTCCACATGTTCTGCATACTATACATTCTCCACATGTTCTGCATACTATACATTCTCCACAATATGTTCTGCATACTATACATTCTCCACAATATGTTCTACATACTATACATTCTCCACAATATGTTCTGCATACTATACATTCTCCACATTTTCTGCATACTATACATTCTCCACATGTTCTGCATACTATACATTCTCCACAATATGTTCTGCATACTATACATTCTCCACATGTTCTGCATACTATACATTCTCCACATGTTCTGCATACTATACATTCTCCACATGTTCTGCATACTAGATATACATTCTCCACATGTTCTGCATACTATACATTCTCCACAATATGTTCTGCATACTATACATTCTCCACATGTTCTGCATACTATACATTCTCCACATGTTCTGCATACTATACATTCTCCACATGTTCTGCATACTATACATTCTCCACATGTTCTGGCACATACTATACATTTTCAACATACCATTGACTTGAACGATTGAAAGGTTGATTTTGGGATATTTTTGAATGGATTACAATGAAGAGAAACTGTACAATATTACCTGTTTCAGTTACCTGCCGGTCGTGAACAGTGCCCCAGAACCAGTCGACCTGTCCCGGAATGTCAAACCTGTTGTTCCGGAACCCTTCCAACGACAAGGTTCGTTACTTTGAGATCTTTTACTTTTAAGGGCAGTAACAATAATAAAGACTTAATGATATTTGTACTTTGTACTTTCAGTTACAGCTGCTTATCAAAGCAATCCTTTCTGCTTTTTCTTTAATTGTACGAGAAATTATGTTGCCAATACCCACCAAATTAAATCTTAAATCTTTACTCTCGCAGAAAACGACGAGTCAGAGCCAAAACGAAAGAAGTACGCAAAAGAAAGTTGGCCCGGTCGCAAACAACAAGCTGCCAGCATTGCTCCACTATTATTCTGATATAACATTTGTGTCACTGACAGACATCTTATTATTGACATGATTTATTTATATAACCAGCTTTAAATGCTTTATTACTGCTTGAATTACACGGACATTTTACAATATATGTTTGTTCCCGTATCTTCTTAACTTATTAGTTATTTGACTCCTATTTTGTAAGAGTTGAGCCACTTAAGCGTATTTAAAGGTTTAAAGGGAACCCTTCTTCAGTTTGCATATCAGAGCTTTGGTTAATTTAGGGGTTGGGTTATATTATTATCTAGGTTACTGTATAATGTGTATTAGTTAAGTATAGCAGCCATTTTAAAGAACTCAATTACCGACTTTTTATTCGTCAATGAATTTAAATTTTAAACCACGACCAGGTTAGGATTCATTTCCTGGAAATTTAAATTAAAAATATATCGATCAATAAAAAGCCTATCATTCAGTTGTACCCACGTTTTGACAGAATTTGCAGGAACACTACTAGAGGTAAGTGATCTCTTTGAGAGAGTTGCAACTTATAATAAGTTCCACAGTTTTACAACATTCTGTTCTAGCACCCGACAAGGATCTAATGGTTTAGATCCTAAAAGGTAAAAAACCTTTGACAATACAGGACAGCAAGATGCTATGTCATCATAGTTGTTGAGTGCCAATGGATCTACCAAAATAAGTTTCTCATTAGACCAAACAGATAGTTGTTACTAAAGAGTAAAGATCCTAAAAGGTTTTAATTAAAAATCGTCAAATTTGACAGATCTTAATTCACAATACATATTACATATCAGGACTCAGCAGGATTAGTACTCCGTTATGATTAAAATTTTTGATTTGAGTTAAGTTATATTATATATTAAGACTATATAAGGAGATATTTGAAATATTATTTTGCGTCTGGAAATTGGAGCTACCCTAATGACCAGGACCCTATATATTTTATAGAACAAATTAACCCACAGACCACCAAAAATAGGACAGAAAATACGTTATTAACCAAAACTCATGAGGCTGTTGTCATCATTTAATGATTATCAAAACGATCTGCTCCAACACGTCGGTTATAAATGTATATTATTTCTGTGGAACATTAGTTTTTAATCGCTCGTTCCAACGCTTAAAGGGCAGCAAGTCTACAAGCCCCACCCGTACCCCCTTTTATTTTATATCATTTAGAGTTCCTCCTACTTGTTCACAATTTCGCCTATTCTCCTACTTTTTGCCGCTTTTTGAGTTTTTGCTATATCTTTCAATAAATGTAATAGATTTATAGTGTTGTATGTAATTACTTTTTATATATGGAAAAAATATATAAATATATTTTTTCCATGGGATTTCTAATCCTTTCATTTTTTACTGTGTTTGCTGCTTTTTAACCTGTATTGTTTTTAAGGTACGGTGTTTTGTAATGTGTTAATTTTAAAAATACTCTTTTTTGGATTTCCATACACTGAACTTCCGTTTGAGGTTAATTTGGGTGACAGCGTAAGTTTCAGACTGCCTATTGGGTGCTGCAACAGTAGTTTTTAACTTTTTTGGCGTCTTTTTTGTTGTTTATCCTTTTTTGTGTTAGTCTGAGCGTCATTGAGCGGAGTAGAAGCCGTACCTCCCCCTAGACAGGTATTATGACCTATCATTGCCGGTTGGGCGCTGAGGAGTTGGACAGGGTCGGGCAGCAGCAGCTGGCTCTCCAGGAGGTGCGCGTCGTCCCTTCCAGACAAATAGCCCCCGCCGGAACTTCCCTGAACATGGCTCCCACAGTCCGCTCCATAGACGTTCGTGTGTGAAATTGTGTTTGTTGTTAAATTTTGTTTGTGACCATATGTTATCATATGGGTCGTTTATGTCCCTGTAATTTATAACCTTCTAGAGGCTCAATACATCGGTTTTATATAACAAACCAAAATATTTAACTCCACAAATCTTGTACGCAGATGCTCAAAATATATAGGGCCGGGCTACATTATTGACTCACAATAGGGAGTCGATGAATCACTAACAATTAAACAAAAAAGCCAATAATTCATGATAAAAGTAGACATAAACGACCCACTCGTCCCTAATGCTCTAATGGGTTAATTACCTTAGTTTCCTAAAAAGGGTAATCATCTTTGTAAGATTTACTGTTATTTTGCTGGGGAAATATTTCAGTGCTGTCTTTGCCGTATGCTGATAGTCTTTGTTGCCAGAAGAACTTGCACTTGCATAGTATATGGCATGCAGGCACGATATATCTAGACATTTGGTGTCCAAGTTTGCATCTGCCTCTTCCATTAGGTCTCTGTGCAGTAGTCACATTGCAGTTTGATAGCGGTAATTTTTCCATGTGGTAATTTGATAGATGGATTTTTATAGGTGGATTTTCCATGTAGATAATTTTAGCAGTGTGTCCTGTTGTCTTGTTGCTGTTATTTGGACTAATTCAGTCGCAGATTTGTTTAAAGTTAATTTTCATGAATTCCTTGCTGTTGATCTTTAAATTGATCGACTATTTTAGTCTTGATAGGACAACTCTACTACTTTTAGATATCTGGTTTATAATAGTGATGGCAATCTTTGGAAACGCTACAGTCAGATACAATGATGATATAATCTCTTCATTAAGAGACGGGAACAATTGGGATGTATTCTTCAACTACTTCTTCGCAGCACTGTTTATCTGTTGTCTCATTATTGGAATAACGCTGTATCCTATTATTATCTGGTATCATTCAACACAGAAGAAATCCCTGCCAACAATCTTGTTCCTACTGATAAGCTCAATCGATTTATTTAAAAGTATCTACTCGCCGATTGCTCTGGTTCCTAAACTTCTATCATCAGTTCATAATTCACCCCTTTACATTGTATTTGATCGAAGTTCCATATCTTGGACATCGTATGCTAACAGTGCCATCTTTACAGTATGCGATATGGAAATCGATTTGTTGGTTTTACTTTGTGTTTTACGCTACATCCATATCAAAGACCCTATCGTTTCTGCCAGTAAAATTAATATTGTTTGTGCTTTTTTCTTTATCGTGGGACTATTAAAGATATCTTCCGGAATAATCGAGGTTCAATGGAAGCCAGTCGCTTACTTTAGGATTTTTGATGGTGTTTCAACAGCAAATATACCGGTAGCAAGAACATTGCCGATGATTAGTCTTTTTCTAAACTGTTTACTTCTGCTATTTGGAGGCCTATTCAGCACACTTACGATAATTCATCTCAAAAATGCAGATACTGCATCATCAGAAGTGTCCAGTAGAAACATTGACAAAAGTATTCAAGCTATTGCTGCTATGAACGTTTTCAATGTCTTGATTTTGGTAGTGAGTGTCGGTTACTCCATTTATTTGAGCACATTTAACAGCAATAATTTGAGTTCGTTTTGGGACTTTGTTGAGTTTACTAACTGTCATGGACTGCCACTTGTACAGTCCTCATTTAATGCTGTCTCATTTCTTCTGATCAGCAGCTCATTCAAGGTTTTTGTTAAAACGTTGCTAAATTTAAAAAGAGTAAATCCAACCATTGAGGTTAATCAACAAACTTGCTCAATGGACAGAATCAGTTTACATGGACCATAAAACCATTATGCAGCTACTTCATGGTGCATTAGTGTCACAGACATTAGATACTGGCATCACACTCGACAGTGAAAAGAAAAAGAACTTGAAAAAGAATCGAAATATGGTATTAGCGGGTATTCCAATTTTAATTCAGAACCCACGGATATCTCATTCAACAAACAAAAAGCACTCAATGGTTGGTACACTCTAGAATCTTAGAATAAGGAGCCTTCCAAACAGCCTTATCTGTAATTTGTTGTCAACCGTACCTGGCTAGGTGTTGAATTCTGTGAAACGTAAGTATATTATTATTGTATTGAAGATGATTAGACTTTTCAATTAAGATGGCAATTGGAATCATAATATTAAAAAACGATAAATTTCCCATAAACTTGTATCTTATATAATGTACGCTTCCAGAAAACGACGAGTCAGAGCCAAAACGAAAGAAGTACCTTACGAGACATATTTATATGGTACGAAATTTGGGGATTTTTGGAAAAAATGGGAAAAAATCCCCATATTTTCGTACTGAATTTCTAAAATTTCGTACTGAATTACTGTATTTCTGAAAAAAATCCCCATATTTTCGTTCACCCATAATTTCGATCCCCGCTCATTATGATCCACATAAATATGTCTTGTAAGGTATACAAAAGAAAGTTGGCCCGGTCGCAAACAACAAGCTGCCAGCATTGCTCCACTATTATTCTGATATAATATTTGTGTCACTGACAGACATCTTATTATTGACATGATTATATCACTAGTTGAATTAAGCAAGGATCTATAGCCATAGTACATACATATTGCAATTGCAATGAAAACTGCAATAAAAAGCCGCTCACAGCTGTTGCGGCGCGGCTTTTTATTGCAGTTTTTATTGCAATTCAATTTCAATTGCAATATATATGTAATACGGCTTATTTCAGAGCATCTGAAATCATCAACCATGTTGTTTCTGGTCTCTTCTTAACTTATTGTATTTGAAATGGTACAATGTTAAAGGTTTTAGTCCCAAAAGGCACACAAATCCAGTTTATCTACCATAGCTTTATATTCATTTATCTAAATTAGGCCTTAGGGGAAGGGTTAAATTATTAAGTTTACTGTGTAATGTGTATTAGTTAACAACCATTTTAAAGAACAAAATTGCCGACTTTTAATTTGTTAATGTGATGATTAAATTTAAGCCATGACAAGGATCCGGGTCCTGGTTCATTGAAAACTGAAAAATTAACTATTGATAAACCTACCAGGTGTGAAATATTTAATCATTTTCAAAATCAAGGTCAATGAACAGAAAATTGAAGATATTGTGTCTACACGGGTACAGACAAAGTGAGAGACTATATTGTGATTTTTTCCTTTTCACCCTTTTGAAAAAAGGCAATAGTGAAAGGTTACGAATGGATGTTTTTGCAGAAAAACGTGGATTTTGGAGAACGAGATAGGTGGGTTTAAATATGTCGTGTGTCCGTTCGTTACCATGCAACGAAAAAGTTGGGCGCGTGCAAGGATTGCTTGCGGAGATGTGATGTATAGATAGCCTGTGATCTATGAATGCGCGGCGCGACTGTGTTTTAATGTATATGATGCATGGAATGTATAATTGTATAATATTACTATTAGGTAATACGCCCAATTTGTACGTGGCACGCATAGTGAATTGATTTGTACACGAGTCTAGTTTAAATTTGCTGATAATTTCTTGAATTACAGATACAAGTTAAGTTCTACGGCAATTGAACTGAATTTCAAGTGTTTCCCGTATTTGATG